CATGGCCTGCAAATAATTAGTTTGCTAAATTTAGGTGGACGGGACTGCCAAAGGAAGGAACCAATAAGGAAGTGCAATTGATTGAAAAAAAGTTTTGGTATCCATATTGGGGAATGTCTGAGCACATATACAGTAAGAGCACTGGAAGCACTTTCATTTTTATCAAATTGATCCTGCCAATAACATTTAATGGAAGATTATACCATGTCTTCAACCTCTGTCTAATGGTCTGGACCAGCAGGTGCAAATTCAGTGAGCAATAGTCACATATCCTAGTTCAAATAAAGATGCTTAAATAGCGCATCGATGATACCCATTTTAAGGGATGAGCTGGATCCGCCGTCCCCTGCGCTTCAGGTCTATAGGAAGGACTTGAGACTTTTCTCAGTTAATGCGTAAATCAGAAATGTTGGCAAATGAAGACAGGATGTTCAGGGCAGCAGACAAAGACGGACCCGGGTCATTAAGAAATAATAACAGATCATCAGCATACAAATATAACTTTTCAGGGATTGATCCAACCGTAATGCCAGTCACATTATTGGCCTGTCTCAAGGCTGCCGCCGAAGGCTCCATGGCCAACGTGAACAGGGCAGTGGATAGGGTACAGCGCTGCCTCATGCCATGCTGAACAGGGAAGGGAGAAGACAAAGCTCCCTCCAACCTAATACAAGCCCCTGGAGCTCTATATTGTACATGGAACCACCTGCGGAAGGATGGACCAAATCCGAACGCTTCTAGGACCAGATCCAGGTAATGCCAGCCAATCGAATCAAAGGATTTTTCTATATCTAGTGCTACCCTCTTTGGGGAATTGTAAGTGAGTAAATTTATATCAATAGATTTGCAGGGCATGAAGCCTGTTTGGTCAATGTCAATCAGAGATGGGAGGACACTCATTAGTCTAGCCGCCAGAACCTTAGCAAGGATTGTGAGGTCGTAATTAAGGAGAGAAATGGGCCTATAAGATGCACAGTATCTGATATCTTCACCTGGCTTTGGGTGCAGGATTAGATGAGCTTGGTACATTGAGGGTGGTAGAGCGCCCTGTTCCAGGCATACAGTGAATAAGTCTCGAAGTTTGATAGCTAATTGAGGGTCATGATTTTTATACCATTCCCCCAGAAGGTCTGGAGTCTTGTTACTTGGGAAGGAATGGATAGCAGCCTCAATTTCTAGTCGCAATATAGGGGCCTCCAGGCATTCCTTATCTCAGAGGAAAGGGTGGGCAACGAAATCCAGGCTAATACCTTGGAAGTCTCAGTATCGGGAACTGACTCTAATCACTCATATAGAGAAGTATAATACACAGTAAATTCCTTCAGAATATCTGAAGGAGAGGTAAGTAACCCTTCGGTAGAGGAATATATCTCAGGGATCACTGTTTGATAGCAGGGCTCCGCAACCATGTTAGCAAGGAGCTTCCCGCTTTTATCCCCAAATTCAAAACGTTTTCCGGCTAAGGCTCTGGCATCAGAATGGACAATATCAGTAAGATATACCTTAAGATCATGCCTGGCCTGTACCAGGGGGGAGAAGTTGTCCGTGGTGGCTTTCCTGTTTCCTTCTTGCAGTGAAGCAGAAAAGCACAGGTGGACTGTGCACTGTCTGTTCTGTAGAGCTATATACAGAATTTCTAACAATCTGCCCACCTGAAAAATTTTACTTTGCTTTTTAAAGTGATTGCAAACCCTTACATATATACAGTGAAGTGACTGACTTCAGAGATTAAACAAATCCTCCTTGTACCATAAATCCATAAATTGTACCTATTTATTTGCAGCCCTCTCTTATCTACAGCCATTTAAATTCCACAATTTACAAAGTTTGTCCAAGATTTCAGAAAATAGAGGGCTGAGAGCTGACATTATACTCTGCAGAGCTCAGTGTGGAAAGCTGTGAGATCTGATTGCAGGGTAGGAACATACCCACCTTTACACAGATCACAGGAAAAGAGCTGAGACTGTCAATCACAGGCTGTGTGTCGGAAGTCCCTCCCTGACATCATTTTTCTCTTGGTATCAGGAAAACTTGTCGTTATTCATGCTGATAGCAGAGGAATTAGACAGCAGACAACAATTAGTGCTCCTAACTGAGACAAATACACATGCTATAGAGGGATATTCTGTATTCATATTTCATGTCTGAGGTTTACAACCACTGTAAGGACATTTACAGCTTTTATTTTGTAAATGAATACCTGTCCAAAGTGTTTATTGCCAACCTGGGGAAGCTACATCACCTGTGGATCTTGAGAAATCTCATCTGGAAACTGAAATCTTGTTAGATCTCAAGGGAAAGGCATTTTTTTGCTTTTTCACTTCAACATCTTTCAGCAATCAGATCCAAGTTCCAGGAGGTAAAGGGAGATGGATTCATCTGCCCTTAGTGAAAATGAGCAAAGTCAGAAGAATGAGGAGAAAAAGAAAAATAATGTATGCAAAGAATAAAAAGCATTAATTATATACAACTGCAGATTGAAATTAGTAAACATTTCTAAAAGTGCATTTTTTGTCAATTTTAAGATAAGGATGAAGTTCCTCTTAATGTGTAAATTAGTAGGAGGAACTAGTGAGAGCTATAAGGAAGCCAAAAGATTGACACTCCAGGTAGTCTTGTTTTCCCTGCGGACTTCATATGAAGACTTGTCATGAACAGATTGGAATTCTGGCAAGGCAAACGGGAAATAAAGTTTTTTGGTTTTTTTTTGCTTTTTCAGATACAGGCAGTCCCTGGGTTACAAACAAGTAGGTTTGTGCTTACACCGAGTTTGTATGAAAGTTTTTAAGTGCAACTGCAGCCACAAAAATATATTTTTAAGTTTTGGATAGCATAGGGAAGGGTTAACTAGCCATGTAGTGATGTGGGATTGCTGACAGGTCTGCCGGACAGTAGGTGGCAGTGTGTGATGAGCAGTAAGATAGCCGCACAGCGATTTCCAGGACCAGTGTAACTACACGCTGCCTCTGTTCTTAAGTATGAGTCGTATGTAAGTCTGATGTTTGCAACCTTACCAACTATGTAGGCAATCTTACCAACTATGTAAGCAATCTCACCAACTATGTAACTATAGATGGGCACCTTAGTGAACACAATATACAGGCATATAGAATATGAGTTTTTGACAGCTGAGCACACACACACACATCCAGGTAGGTTGAACTGGATGGACTATTGTCTTTATTCAACCTTATCAACTATGTAACTATGTAACTCAGGGACTGCCTGTATATTCTTTTAGAGTTTTTTTTTCTAATGATAAGAGTTATTTTAAGAGGTAGAAATAAGATCACTCTATTCTCTAGCCAGACAAGACTCAGCAACATTACAGGTTTCAACACGGTTTTTCTTATTCAAAACTAAAACGAATGACTAAAGTGTTAGACATTTGGTGATTTTTTCGTAGATCTATTTCAGGTTTATAGATCTCCTCCAAAGCTACCTTGTCTCTTTTTCCCATGCTCATCTCCAGGACTTCACCAGAGCCTCTCCCATCTTCTGGAGCTCTCTACCTCAATCTGTCCGGCTATCCCCTACTCTGGCTGGCTTTAGGCTATCCCTGAAAACGTATCTCTTTAGGGAAGCCTATCACGCCTCCAATTAAACATTTATCACTCCCATCAGCTCATCCCCCAGTTATAATCTTTTTTACCACTTGCCCCACCCTATTAGATTGTAAACTCCTATGAGCAGGGCCCTCTTAATTCTCTTGTTATTTAATGTATTGTAACTGTACTGTCTGCCCCCATGTTGTAAAGTGCTGCGCAAACTGTTGGCGCTATATAAATCCTGAATAATAATATTATTAAGAGAATAAATTGAAAATATTATTGTCACCAAGCGCTGTCTTAATAGAGCTAACCACCTTGGCATTTCACTTATTTTAATAAATTAATAGATTGTAAGGTGCAGAACAAGTCCTCACTGCAATGAGAATCCACCTTGTTCTGGTCGGCTGATGAATTGTTATAGATGGCTTCTATTTACTGCTCGTATCTACATTTTATGCTATAATGCTTGCACTATTTTTGCCTATAAATCTATGTGAGATTGGAGTTAGCATGATACACTGTTGTAGTGCTTGGTGCTTACACTCCTAATTCAATGATCGGATCTGGAAGAGTTCGACAACAGCATGTCACTGTTCACATTAAATTTATTTAAAATGGCCCAAGGAGACTAATTCGCAATTTAAGTTTTAAGTGAAAGGCAACAAACACGAAAAAAAGAAAAATAGCATTTACTTACTGTATAACAGATGACACCTTAATGTGATTGTGAAGGGTTTAATGTTTAAAAGCTCTTTATTAAAGATTTCAAGATATAAACATACATTATTAAAACAATAAACATAGTTACATAGTTAAGTCTGGCTGAAAAAAGACAAACGTCCATCCAGTTCAACCATAACAAAAAAAAAGGTTATAATCCTATACCCACAGTTGATCCAAGAGGAAGGCAAAAAAAACCAGCAAAGCATGATCCAATTTGCTCCTGCTGGGAAAAATAAATCCTTTCTGATCCCCCGAGAGGCAATCGGATATTCCCTGGATCAATTTTACCTATAAAATTTTAGTATCCAGTTATATTCTGTCTATCTAAGAAACAATCCTGGCCTTTTTTGAAGCAATCCACTGAGCTGGTCAGAACCAACTCTTGAGGGAGTCTATTCCACATTTTCACAGCTGTTACTGTGCAGAAACCTTTCCGTGTTTCGAGATTACATTTATTTTCCTGATGTATTTATACATGTTGATCATATCCCCCCTTAACCACTTCCTGTCCGGACACTTATACCCCCTTCCTGCCCAGGCCAATTTCCAGCTTTCAGCACTGCTGCACTTTGAATGACAATTGTGCGGTCATACAATACTGTACCCATATGAAATTTTTATAATTTTTTTGTGACAGATAGAGCTTTATTTTGGTGGTATTTAATCACCTCTGGGTTTTTTTATTTTTTCTTAAACAAGCCAAAAACAACTGAAAATTAGTTTTTGTTATAACATTTTGTAAATAAGTGATTTTTCTCCTTCACTGATGTGCGCTAATGAGGCTGCACTGATGGGCACTGATAGGTGGCACTGATGGGCACTGATGAGGAGGCACTGGTAGATGCCACTGATGGGCATTGACAGGCATCACTGATGGGCACTGAAATGCAGCACTCATATATGGCACTGATAGGCGGCACTGATAGGTGACACTGACTGGCACTGATAGGCAGCACTGACTGGCACTGTTAGGTGGCACTGACTGGCACTGTTAGGCGGCACTGATAGGCAACACTGACGGGCATTGATGCACACTGATAGGCGGCACTGACTGGCACTGACAGGCGACACTGACTGACACTGATAAGTGGCACTGATTGGCAGCACTGATAGGTGGCACTGACTGGCATTGATAGGCGGCACTGACTGGCACTGATGGGTGACACTGAAAGGCAGCTCAGATGGGCACTGATATGTGGCATTGATGTGGCACTGATGGGCACTGAAATGTGGCACTGATGTGGCACTGATGGGCACTGATGAGGAGGCACTGGTAGGTGGCACTGATGGGCATTGACAGGCATCACTGATGGGCACTGAAAGGTAGCACTCATATATGGCACTGATAGGTGGCACTGATAGGCGGCACTGACTGGCACTGATAGGTGACTGGCACTGTTAGGTGGCTGACTGGCACTGTTAGGTGGCACTGATAGGCGGCACTGACTGGCACTGATAGGTGACACTGACTGGCACTGATAGGTAGCACTGATTGGCAGCACTGATAGGTGGCACTGACTGGCACTGATATGTGACACTGAAAGGTAGCTTAGATGGGCACTGATATGTGGCATTGATGTGCACTGGTATGCACTGATATGTGGCATTGATGTGGCACTGATGGGCACTGGCTGGTGGCACTGATGAGCACTGACAGCTGGCATTGATGGGCACTGACAGGTGGCACTGCTGGGGCTACACAGATCATCAGGCACACTGATCATCAGTGCCCTGATGATCAGTGTACATGTCCCCTTCGAGGAATGCCGATTACCGACTCTCCTCTCCTCTCGAGCTGTCAGTGTGACAGCTCGTGAGAAGAGAAATGCCGATAATCGGCATTTCCCTGTTTACATGTGATCAGCTGTGATTGGACACAGCTGATCATATCACCGAGCCGACATCTTCGGCTCTTTACGTAAATCTGTGATCCTCTGTATCCTAGGGACACAGCGCACCACCGATCGCCGCACTGTGCGCTACGGGAGCCACGCATGCGCGGTGAGAATGGGAGGACGTCATATGACGTCCTCCCAGAATGAGAGAACCATCTTGCGTCCGTCATATTACTATATGGCGGGCAGGAGATGGTTAATCTCCTCTTCTCAAGAGAGAATAAATTCAGTTCCTCTAATCTTTCCTCATAGCTGATCTCCTCCATGCCTCTTATCAGTTTGGTTGCCCTTCTCTGTACTTTCTCCAGTTCCCCAATGTTCTTTTTGTGAATTGGTGCCCAAAACTGAACTGCATATTCCAGATGAGGTCTTACTAATGATTTGTACCGGGGTAAAACGATATCTCTCTCTCTGGAGTCTATACCTCTTTTAACCACTTGCCTACCAGGCACTTATACCCCCTTCCTTACCAGGCCAATTTTCAGCTTTCAGCGCTGCCGCACTTTGATTGACAATTGCGCGGTCATGCAACATTGTACCCATATGAAATTTTGATCATTTTTTTCTCACAAATAGAGCTTTCTTTTGGTGGTATTTAATCGCCACTGGGCGCTTTACTTTTTGCGCTATAAATTAAAAAAAGTGCAAAAAATTTGAAAAAAAAAAAAAAGTTTATTTGTTTCTTTTATAAAATTTTTCAAACAGGTATTTTTTCTCCTTCACTGATTTGCGTTGATGAGGCGGCACTGATGGGCACTGATAGGCGGCACTTATGGGCACTGATAGGCAGCACTAAAGGGCACTGATAGGCAGTACTAATGAGGTGGCACGGATAGGCGGCACTGATAGACAGCACTAATTAGGGGTCACGGATAGGCGGCACTGATATGCAGCACTGATAGGCGGCACTGATAGGTGACACTGATGATGGGTACTGATAGACGGCACTGACTGGCATCACTTCTGGGCACTGACTGGCGGCACTGACTGGCACAACCCCTGGGCACTGACTGGTGGCACTGACTGGCAGCACTGGTGGGTGGCACTAGTGGGTGGCACTGGTGGACAGCACTGGTGGGTGGGCACAGGTGGGTGGCACTGGTGGGCACAGGTGGGTGGCGCTGGTGGGCACAGGTGGGTGGGCACAGGTGGGTGGCACTGCTGGGCACATGTAGGTGGCACTGCTGGGCACAGGTAGGTGGCACTGCAGAGTGGCACAGGTGGGGGCACTGCTGGGCACAGGTGGGGGCACTGCTGGGCACAGGTGGGGGCACTGCTGGGAATGGGGTGTGGGCGGGGCTAGTGGGCGCACAGCTGATCGGAACTTGCGGGGGTCACTGCTGGGCACCGATCATCAGGGCACTGATCATCAGTGCCCTGATGATCGTGTGCCGATCCCCGCTCTGACAACTGCCGGTTCTCGGCAGTACTTTCCTCACGATCTGACAGCGTGAGGAAAGTGCAGCCGAGAACCGGCACTTGCATTTTCCTGTGATCAGCGTGTCATTGGACACCGCTGATCACGTGGTAAAAGGCCGGTGGGATCGGCCTTTCACCACATCTCGTGATCAGCTGTGTCCGTAGGACACAGCGATCACGGAGATCGCCGGGTGCGCGCTCTCTGGGGCGCGCAGGAGAGCGCGTTCTGGGAGGACGTCATATGACGTCCACTCAGAACTGGCCGGCCGCGGTGAAGCCGTCATTCGGCTATGCGCGCGGTCGGCAAGTGGTTAATACAAGAGAAGATTTTGCTCACTTTAGAAATTGCAGCTTGGCATTGCATGCTATTATTAATTTCTTGGCACCAGCCAAAAGCAAATGTGCGGCCTCCTGGCATCTGGGCTTTAGATGCCAAGCGGCCGCACATTTGCGTTCTATTAAAAAAAAGACATATGTGCTGACAGCTCGCGTCCTGTGCGCTCCAGCACATATGTCTGCTACTCACAGAAAGGTCCCAATCTCCTCTTTTGATAGAGACCTTTCACGGCGGTCACATGACTCTAAACCCCGTCCCGCCTCCCGGCTTCTGAAACACCCTTAAAGAGCCAGGAGGCACTAGCGCCAAGGGGTTAAGCTTGTGATGTACCAGAACTCCCAGATCCTTCTCCACCATTGATTCCCCCAGTACCACCCCTAGTATGTATGATGCATGCATATTCTTAGCCCCCAAGTGCATAACCTTACATTTATCAACATTAAACCTCATTTGCCACATAGTTTCCCAATTAAACAGTGCATTGAGCTTGTAAATTGGAGACATCCTATAAAGATGTTATTGCACAACTTGCACAACTTTTTAATCTCAGACCCTAATGGGATTTTTAATCTCAGACCCTAATGGGATTTTTAATCTCAGACCCTAATGGGATTTTTAATCTCAGACCCTAATGGGATTTTTAATCTCAGACCCTAATGGGATTTTTAATCTCAGACCCTTACCATGCTTACCATAACATGCTATACTTACCTGCTATGTGCTTTGGTGTTGCACAGAGTGGCCAAAACCTCCTCCTCTTGGGACTCCGCTGGCACTCTGGGCTCCTTCTCTTTTCTGTGCATCACTATGGAAACCTGCTTCCTTTGGGGGCACAACTGAAGTCTTGCTCCTGAGCCAGGCTGTGTGCATCTATTGACAAACACAGCATGTCTCAGCCCCACCCTCTGCTCTCAGAATTTGATTGACAGCAGCAGAAGCCAATGGCTCCCATTACTGCCTCTGTGCGCAGAGAAAAAGGAGCAAATGGATGGGGGGGGTGAGGGGGTGATAAAAATACAGGGACATTTTTCACTATAATGCAGGGAATTAATTAATTTAAAAAATGTCTAGCCTTTAGATCCTTGCCCTCCAGAGGATTTCCCCCCATTCCTGACCAGGCCATCTTTTCCAATACAGCGCTACGTTAATTTAACTGACAATTGCGCTGTACAGTATTGGTATTTGATCACCTCTATGATTTTTATTTTTTGCGCCATAAAAAAAAAAAAGGCCAACAGTAAAAAAATTTAAAAAAAATCAAATTTCTTGATAAATATAGGCCGAAATGTATTCTGGTACATGTCTTCGCCAAAAACAATAACAATACATGTAAATGAAACCACTTGCCCTCCTCTCCTGAAGATTTACCCCCCCCCCCCTTCCTGACCAGGCTATTTTTTGCATTACGGCGCTGTGTTATTTTTAACTGACAATTGCGCGGTCATGCAATGCTGCACCCAAATGAAATGTTCTTAATTTTTTTCCCCACAAATTAAGCTTTCTTTTGGTGGTATTTGATCGCCTGTGCATTTTTACATTTTTGTGCTATAAAAAAAAAAAAGACCAACAATTTTGAAAAAAAAAAACAATATTTTTGACTTTCTGCTATTAAACATGTCCAGTAAAAAAATTTTAAAATCTAATTTCGTCATAAATTTAGGCCAAATTTTATTCTGCTACATTTCTGTGCTAAACAAAAAAATCCCAATATGTATAAATTATTGGGTTTACATAAAAGTTATAGTGTTTACAAATGGCGGTATATATACTTAATTTTTTTACATTTTAACTAGTAATGGCAGCCATCCAAAGCAGTGTGTCTGAGCTGACAAGGAGGAGAACTGTTTGTAAACAAAATAGTTCTCCTCCCTGTCTGAGATCTTGGGTAATTACCGGGCGCCAACGAGTAATCATTGGCCTGGGACCCGGTGACTGACAGCCCCTGCTGCGAATGGCATATATATATTACGTGATTTTGCGCACCTGACTCTGTACTAATGACCCTGGGCAGGAAGGGGGTTAACATCTGGGGCAATCAAAGGGTTAACTGTGTGCTGTGTACTGTGTTTTACTTGGGAAACATGCTGCTGTGTATTTCTCTGCTGTGCAGAGAAATACACATCAGCATGTTCTTGCTTGCAGGAGAGAGACCTGTGTTGTTTACACACAGGTCTGTCCCTTGTCAGTGTTACTCAGCGCTCGCCGGGTGCCGGCGGAGAGTCTCCAGCCGGGACCCGGTGATTGAAATCTGTAGCCACCGATGGCGGAAATGCAAAATGTGAGGGAAATCTTTCTAATGGGAGGGTGAAAATAAACCTAACAGGGGTTATAGCCCTCCCTTACCCTATCCAAAATGAAAAAAAAAAGTTTTGTCTTTAGTTCTACTTTAACCATTAGCCGCCCGGCCAATGGCCGTTTGGCGGCTTGAAATGCGCTCCTGTATTCCGGGTGCACGCCATTTGGCGTGCTCCCGCACATGCGCAGTTTGCGCCACAGCAGAGCGGCGCAGCAGCGGGATCTGTCACGGGCCGTGCACCTCGGACACGGCCGATGACAAATCCGAGTACCGGCTCCCGTAGCTGGTACCATGTGACCTGCTGTGACCAATCACAGCAGGTCACGATAGTTGTATACAATGGATGGCTTCATTCATGATGCCATCCATTGTATACTAGTGCCTAGCTGTGAATGGTCACAGCAGGTCACATGCACATGTCATGTGATTAGCTGTGACCAAATCACAGCTAAGCACAAAAAAAAAAAAAAAAAAAAAAAAAAGCCGAATGAATCGATTTCATTCAGCTAAATGCTTGCTTTTAGAAAGTAATTCTTTGCTATAAGCAAACTGTGCATAAAAAAAAAAAAAAAAAAAAAAATACTGATCACTCCCCCAAAGTAGTACAATGTTACTATGGTAACATTGTACTACTTTGGTCATAGTAAAATATGAAAAAAAAATCTTTAAAAAAAAGTAATAAAAATTAAATATAATAAAAAAAAAAAAATATATATATTTTTTTTTTTTCATACTGTCACCAGTCAGTGTCCATGTTCACCGCCATGCCAGTTATATGAAGACGCTGTACTGCACTGGTGACAGTATGTAAAAAAAAAAATAGTGAAAATAATTTTTTTATTTTTTTCATTTTCCGAAAAATTATGACAAAAAAATACAACTTCAAAAAACTTGCCATGCCTGTTATGAAATACGTCGGACTGTCTACTTTGCAAAAAGGGGTCATTTGGGGGATATCTGTACTGTTCTGACATTCTTGAACCTCAAGAAATTAGATTGGCTGTCAGTACTTCAGGATTGATCAATATTCAGATCTATACCATAGTTTGTGAACTCTATAACTTTCCTACAAACTAAAAAAATACATCCTAATTTGGGTTATTTTCACCAAAGACATGTAGCAGAATACATCTCGGCCTAAATTTATGAAGAACAATTATTTATTTGTAAACTTTTATAACAGAAACAAAGAAAAATTTGTTTTTTTTTCAAAATTTTTGGTCTTTTTTTGTTAATTTAACAAAAAATAAAAACCCCAGCGGTGATTAAATACCACCAAAAGAAAGCTCTAGTTGTGTGAAGAAAATGATAAAATTTTAGTTTGGGTACAGTGTTGTATGACCGCGCAATTGTCATTCAAAGTGTGAGAGCGCTGAAACCTGAAAAATGGCCTGGGCAGGAAGGTGTAAAATCACACGGTATTGAAACGGTTAACCACTTGCCTACAGGGCACTTATACCCCCTTCCTGCCCAGGCCAATTTCCAGCTTTCAGCGCTGTCACACTTTGAATGACAATTGCACGGTCATGCAACACTGTACCAATATGACATTTTTTATCATTTTTTTGAGACAGATAGAGCTTTCTTTTGGTGGTATTTAATCACCTCTGGGATTTTTATTTTTTCTTAAACAAACCAAAAACCACTGAAAATTTTGAAAAAAAAAAACGTTTTTTCTTAGTTTTTGTTATACAATTTTGTAAAGAAGTGATTTTTCTCCTTCACTGATGTGCGCTAATGAGGCTGCAGTGATGGGCACTGATAGGATGCACTGATGGACACTGATAGGTGGCACTGATGGGTACTGATGAGGAGGCACTGGTAGGTTGCACTGATGGGCATTGACAGGCATCACTGATGGGCACTGAAAGGCAGCACTGATACATGACACTGATATATGGCACTGATATATGGCACTGATA